GCTGCTCATGCACTTAGCATTGAACATCAGGAAAACAATTCCTCCTGAGATTAGTGATTTACAACCGCATTCTTGTCAACACCGGTCAGGGTAGCGATCTGGTCGCGAACATTGTCAAGATCGGCATTGGTCAATGACCAGAATCCATTTGCCTTACCTTTCAGTGAAGCAAGCAGGGCATCTGATTTTGCTTTGTTCACCTTGGCATTGTTGGCAAAACGCAGTGCATAGATAAAGCCGACTCCTTCTGACAATGAGTGGAACTTAGCACCATCTGTGGTAGCTGTTTTGGTTTTGTTCAGGTAGCTGATTGCTACGGTTGCAATGGCTTTTTCAAGGGAAGTACGGATGTAGGCGATCTTTTCATTGCGCTTGTTCAGGTCTTTGTTTACAATAGCCGCACGCCCGGTAAGCAATGCCAGGTATACTTCCTGCGGATCGCAGCCAAACGCGGGCCCTACCTGGCGGACATAACTGCCCAGAAATGATTCCAGCCATTTAGTGGCATCGGCAGGATCTTGTTTCGGATATACTTCGTTGGAGGTAAGGTAGCCATAAGCTTCATCCCAGTTGTGCTCCAGTGCTGTATAGTTTTTACCGCTGAGGATGGTGATATTATCAGCAGCCATCTTTTCGTTACCGAGGTAGATATTGCTGATCTGATCCAGCATCATAGCGCCCATCAATCCTTTTTGTACAAACTGGCCATATTCAAAGCCCTTTTCATCTACCAGGTATTTGGCATCCAGCAAGCCGGCAGTGCCCTGCACGGCTACATTGTTGCGCTTGGTGCTCAGGGTAGCCAGCAAGTCAAAGTAACCGAGGAAGGTCTGGCGCTCTGCATCGGCATCAACCGCTGTAAAAGACTGTGCTGTTTTAGAGATGATCGTTTTATCCGTGGCACTGTTCAGCGCCGCAACAGAAAACGGACTGTTCTCGTTTTTAAACATATTCTTCATGGTAGCCGCGCTCAGATCGGCAGAGATGCCTTTCTTGATATAAGCATCCAGTTCCTTCAGCATATTTACACGGGTGGTCTGGCCGGAGAAGTCTACGGTAGTGGCACCAGCAGCATCTTTGAAACGCTCAAAATAATTAGTAGTTTTGGTAAGACCTGCGTAAGGCACCTTTTCGTCAATAGGAGTACTCTTATCATCTTTCTTACAGGAGGCAAAAAATAAAGTTGCC